TTAGCTCCTTTCGATGGTGCTGTTCGAGACCCGATCCCGGGTTATTGGCGGTGTGTTGGGTGCGTCCGTGTCGAGCGTTGGCGACAGAAGAAGCGGCAGTTGGATCACAAGGTGCCCGATCACGAGGCACGCATGAGGAAGAGAGTCGGAATCTGCACTCATCCGCCGTCGAGGCTGCGCGCCGCTGAATTGGGAGAAACGACTTTTTCCTCCACGTGTGTGGCGGCACAGATGAGTCACACCAGCTCATAGATCGGTATCGTGGGTTTTGATCGACAAAGGCCGCATTTATCCCGCTCGTAAAGGGGAGCAAGTCATTTGTCGTAGTTGGTGTAGGAGAGCGCCGGAGTAAGCGGAGATATTAGGAGCAATTTCTCGTTGCCAAATCTCCGTCAGGCGATGGTTTGTGGTGGGATTCACCAATGTGTTAAATTCTTGTTTCCTTCTGGCCTCGCAGCTGGTGCTGGCTTGCGTCGTCCAGGAAATCATCGCTTGTAGCCCACCATCGAAGCACAGCGGGCGCAGTAGTAACAGTTGATGCCGAACTGTATCGACTTGTCGAGGTTGAGGGAGAGCTGGCATCGAGAACAACGGACTTGGAGAGCTGAGCCGCTGGCCGAACGGGGAGGCACGCCGCCAGCAGAGCCGGTCGAGGCGGGTTGGCGGGGAACGGCCGTAGAGGGCATCTCGAGGGATTCGAAGCAGATGTGCGTTTTCGAGAATAGTGTCAAGCGTGAGAGCTTTGGAGGGAGAGGCGAGGAAGCCTGGCTTTAGTGCGTCGTCGTCTGTTGCGAAGCTGAGCGGTGGCAGTGCAGTGGGAAATCGCCAGACTTATAGCAGATCTAGGAGAGGGTGGAAGGCTGGAGCATGGCAACGGAAGTGGACGGGGAAAAGAAGGCGAAGTCCCATCCAAAAGCGCGTCCTCGTATTTTTCGTTGGAGAGAGAGAGAGAGAGAGAGAGAGAGAGAGGCAGACGCAGGTGATCTCTTCAAGGTAACTCTGGCGGTTGAACTCGAGTCCACGGGCGTGTTGTTTGAGGGTGAAGGCGACAGCGAAGATGCACCAACAAAGACGAGGCTGGGACGAAAGGGACGATTTGTTCCGTTTTTTTTTTTTTACTTTGTCAAAAACGAGGGTAGAAGAATAATATTATGTTTTATCTTTTTTGAAACATCGTGGGATAATTATTTTTTTGCTTCCCGCGAGCCGGGCCCCGTGTGATCTATAAAGTATCCGCCCGACACTCTGGCCAAAACTTGGCTGAGCATGACGCCGGCCACCGCAAACCTTGCGGCGAAAAAAAGAAACGAAGAAGAACTTTCGAACTTCTGCTGCTGTGTGTCTTCATTTCCCGGCAAGCGAACCCCAACCCGCCCCATACCAGGCGGCCGCAATTGGCCATACAGATGCGCAACAGGGTCCCCTGCACAGCGTCGCTCAACCAAGTCCCCGCCCGCCAGGTCGAAGACGCAATTGATTCTGCAAGCTGGGCTTAAGGTTCTGCGCGCCCGCTGCAATGGAAATGCCTGCGCCTCTCTGAACCCCCAGGGTAACAGGGTTCGTCTGAAGGGCCAGCGACAAGAATAAAATCGGCGAGCGCTCCCCCAACGGAACACGTACATACGACATACATCTCCTCCTTGATCTTTCCATCCTTTCCCCCCCCACCATCAGAACAGCTGGAAACAGGATCCTGCAGAAAGGCCATGCTCGCGGAAAAAGGCTCCCCTTGACCGCGGTTTCAAACCGGCGCCCGGGAGTATCACCCCCGTGTTTCTTCTTCACTTCCCATTCCCGAGCGAGCCGATGCATGCTCCTTTTCTATCTGCCTGAAAAAGGTGACAGACATACAGCCCGTGCTGTGAATTGAATACGACTCCTGCTTCACTTTCATATGTTTCTGCCTCTGTCCCGGCACTCGCAGGCTCCCAATGCACGATGATGTGATGCTGCATCGCCTTAAAATGAGCACCAGCAAACCCAAATGGCGCCCTCCAGCAAATCAGCACCCTTCGATCAGGGGCCACCTGTGAATGCTGTCATGAGCATTGCATCATTCTTGCCAGAGGGTGTCTTCACGCTCCTGTGATCAGCGTGAATCTAGAACCATCAACTGTTGATGGCATTCCAATCTAGGCACAATGCCCTCATGATAGATTCTCGTGGGATATCTGCAAATTCACCCCTGGTTATCAAGCCCTTTATGCTCACAAGTTACAACATGAGTATTCCAAATCCAACGGTTTTCAATCTCCTGCTCCAACGTCATGGCCCAACCCCCGTGTGGAGTCGAGAAGGGAGTATAATAGAACCCCCATCTCCCCTCCACATCGAACCCTCTGAATTGGGGTACAGGCAGGTTCCTCCTGCTCGTTCCCGTGGCGGAACACCGAACTCCAAATGCCGACCCCATTCCAGTCTTCCCATTTTATATCCATGCATGCGTGCACATGCCTCCCGTACAGTACAAACTCCGGGCGCCTTTATGATCTCCCGTTTCCTTCCCCGAGCAACCTTGGTGGTCCTTCCACGGTAGCTGCAGTGCACTCTTCCTCTTCACAGCTTCAGTACACACATCTTGATAACCTAGTCAGGCGGATTTCCCCGCGCCGCGGTTTGCGCGAAGCGCGTATTTACATTGGCCAACAGCTGCGAGTATCCCAGATCGGACCCCAAAATAGTGAGACTGGCCCGCGTACCTACATGTCCTCGCCGTTTCGACAGCACCCTTTTCAATCTATCAGAGCCTGGACAAGGGATACCCGTTCGTCGATCTCCTGTCAACTGGAGAAATGAACCCTCACACCAGTCGCGCAAACACTCAGTATGTCCCCCTCTCCCCCATCGCAAGAACCCTGCACTTCAATCATCGCAATCTGCCACTACTGGACAAGCACCACCGCGCTCCCCCAATGACGTCAGCCTGCCTACCCCGCTTTCTTAGTTCTTTTGATTGTCTCTTTTTTCCACAACCGTCTGCGCTACTGAACCTGCGGTCGTCGGGGGGTTCCTCGGACATTGCTTGTCCTTGCTCCAATGCGTATAAGTTATCGCTGCTGCCGCTCGTCTGAGTGATTCTGTCGGACTGCTGCCTCGGCTCCGGCGGCTTCGACAAAAGGGCTCTTGGCACGGCATCTCCCGGGCGGCTTCCGTGTCCTGTTTTCATGCATTCTGACTTGCGCTCCCCTGCACGTCTCTGCCAATGACCCGTGATGTCGCAACTGGCTTGCGGATTACTGACTCTTTGTGGTGCGCCCGCTCATCTCAGGGTTTGAATATCGACGCGATGGCCCCTGTTTTCCCCTCGCTACGATCCCGGTTTTAAGCGAGCTCTTCGAATGATCCCAAGTACCCCGTCGATCAAAACATTGTGCGATGGCCTCAGTATGATGGTGAACGTGGTCCATGGGATAGTACTTTTTGAGGGGGGGGGGGAACCAAAGACAGCCCTGTTCGCAAGCACTCCGGGAAAACATCGGTTTATTCGAGATGCATCGTCTTACCGCGAAAAAGGTGGTTACAATTCTATGATCGCTTTTCCGGATAAGCGGCTGGCGTCATACACGAGTTTTGCAGCTGAGCTCTGTAGTGTCGACTTTCCCCAACAGGTGACGACGTGCGCGAAGCATTGGCACAGAGCTCAGCCCAACCTTCGATCGAAGTTTTGATCTGGAATACTAGAGGCGCGTGAACCGATACGTTTCTCCAAATCGGGGCTGAGGCGCATGTCACGACGTTATCTCTGTCCCACAAGGAATCTGTCGTACCAGCACTTCCCAATTCTACTATTCTGCCATGCATATTGTGGCGCGCCAACTCGGGGTAACCGAACGTGCCGTCTGTTAACGAAAACGCCACATGAACGCGCTTAGATCCCAGCTGAGGCTTTTTTCGAGCCCGAACCCGAATTGATAATACTCGGGCTGTTGTTTTGAAGGCTAAAAATAGGCAAGTGCTCTTTGTTACATTGGCGGGTGCCATTGCTGCTTGATATATCTGTTGGCTTCAGCGGTTCAGCCTCCGATGCGATAACAAGCTGGAGCGTAACGAAGTCATGATGGTTACATTTCGTTTCCCACGCTTTGACCACCCGCCTCGTCGGTCACCTGAAGTCCTTCATGGTTTAAAAATAACTTGTTGACCGCGATGTCTTGCCGTTATCATAATCATAGGGGACCTTGAGGACATTCTCTGAGATTGGAAAGCGACTGTTACCGTTGTTGATCGGCAAGATCTTCTGTCGTGAGCCCACCGAAGGATTGGAACTTGATCCCAATAGTTATGAGCGCAGGGAGAGCTAGCTTGTACGGACCCGCCCTTCCGGTGTTATGTCTGTCTTGATCGTGGCACCTTGGCACTCTGATCCCAACACAGGCATTCGTATTCTTATACGGACTTTGGGAAACAGATGATCTCTTTGAACAGGCCATGGATTCCAATTTTGGAACCAGCTCCAAAGCAAGGCCTGAAACTTGATGCAACCTCTATAATCAAGGCGCCATTTTATTACGACACTAGTTTCTATTCTAGGCTGTCTGATCCGAGAAACGATCTGGATTGGTTTAACAAGGACCGATGGCAAGCCGCTGCCCCGGTTATCGGGTTAGTTAAAATAGCTCATTTGCGGGGTCTATTGACAGCTGGAGCTGGGCAGTGGGCTTCCCGTGCATACCGTCCAGGCGGTGCTTGGTCAACAGCTAGGTTTGTTTAACAAGGTCTTGTATCAGCTCAGCTAACTCCTCAGTTGCAACCATTGATGAGTCATGACAAAACCAGAGACCTTTCTTTAACTGCTTTTGATCCCAGCGAGCCGAAGAAAGGATTTCGTATGGAGATTCATCAGCCTGAATCTGCTTCCAAGAATCGCATGACACATAGCGTTGTTAGCTGGAAGTGTACAAAACAAACTCCTCTAACGATGAGGCTCTGAACGTCACATGAAGTCCTTCGTGGCTCCCTGAAATGTCAGCCAAAGGTCGTACTCCTGGGCTTGGGAACTGAGACTTCGAGATGCGCCTCTGAGGCTCGGTAGAAACGTCTCATCTTCTCGAATACATCTTAGTTGAAGGACAAGAAGAGGAAAATAAAGCTATTTCTAGCTCATGCCCTCTTACTGCTGTCATACTTTTGTTCATCTGAACAGATGGAAGACAAGTGGAACATTTTAGCTCAGCTTACATAGAAATCAATCAATCAGAGGATAGCAGTTGTTTTTTGATAGTAGAGGGAAAATATTCATCTATGTATGTACTCCGTAGGGCCTGAGAAAAACATTGTCCGTTCGCCTGTCTTGGGAGGGAATCGAAGATGCCATTGTCCTTCCTCTACAGATGGGCGAACCATTGACAACTGTACACTGAGACTGATCTTCCCAACACATGAAGCGTGTGCAAGACGAGCAAAATCAACCAGGTTCTGAGCTTTGTTTTGGCGGAACAACGCGTCTCACCGCCTTTAACTAGCTATTTGCAACCGCGCAACCCCGAACGATGCCCATACCGACACGATCTCTGTCCACACGAGACGCCTCATCTACCCAAAGAAAGAAACCCAGCCAGGACACCGCGGTATGAATTTGATCGACCCCATTGTTTTCTTCTCCAGAGTGGATTTTTGATCCGAATTGACTCCCATGGAACCCAATTCCTAGATTCCCACCAGCCGACAAGCTCCTCTTACCGTCAGACCCACCCGTACAACCTCCGTCTCAACGACAGCGGCTACGAAACCACCAGGGCATGCTCACGCAGCTTCTGAAAGCGGTATATCCGCTGCGACCGGACCCGGCTCCGTGTCGCGTAGGAGCTTGCTGCCGCAGAGACATACGAGCAGCATTTCCAGCAGCAGGGGATCGGAGAGGACGACGACGACTACGGTGCCGCTGAAGGTCCAGGTGCCGGAACTACAAGCCAAGCAGCAGAGAGATGCGCAGTTGGGTGTGTCGCCGTCTCGACGGGACAGTGTACATTCGCCGGTCAAACAGGGCAGTTCTGAATCGAGGGTCGACGATGGCAGACGGCAGCAACAGCGGTCCATGGAACCGCCGGGTGTAGGTCAGGCGAGACCGTCACCGATGCCGGCGACGAGGTTGGATAGATCGGCGTCGTTGCGACAGCCGCCCTTGTCCAGGGTTGCCTCGACGACTACGGGCCATGCGAGGCATCGGAGTCAGATACTCGCTTCGGGGAAAGAACAAGCAGGTGCTGTGCACCGGCAGGACAAATCGAACGTGGTGGACGCACAGTCGGTTGCTGCGAAGCTTGCAAAGCCGCAGTTTAACATGTATCAGCAGCATTATAGCCCGAAGAAACCGGTTCCCAAATCGTCTACGAGCAGTTTATCAATTGCCGCTGGGGGCGGGAATGGGGCGGCATCTTTGCCTCAGAATATTTGCCTTTTACAGACTGAACTTCTTCAGCTGCATCTTCTGCATTCCCAGGCTCTAGACGCCAAGCGAAAGTGGGAGGCTAGTGCGGATACAAAGTGTCGCAAATTACATGAATCGGTGGCTACGAGCTACCGTTCTGTGCTTTCCAGTGAGCGCTCCATACAGCAGAATCGCAATGCAGCGGCAATCGAGCAGTTTGCGGCGGATATCAAAGCCAGCAATAGCCGTTATGACCTCCCGTCGCAGATACAAATGCTGTCAAAGGTCATACAGGAAGTTTCTGATATGACTGATCCAGGGGAAGGGAGATACAGTCTTGTGATACAAGAATTCGAGGAGTGGTCTACGCGTGTTCAGCAAATCAGACAAAATAGATCGCAGCCCACGAGTAATGGCAATGCTACGACAGTCAGGATCGACTCGGAGTTCGTTGATCCTTTAAGCGATGCGTGGAAAACTCAAGTAGCTGCGTTGTCGACGAAGCTGGAATTGTGCTCACGAGAGCTGGATTGTTTGGAGGTTAGTTCGGCCGTAACAGAGCAAGCTGTTTCTGATTATGACGCTTCGGCTTTGGTCAAGGCCGTCAGGGGGCATAGGGTGCTGATACAATCGATGATCCAAGAATTGGACGTCATGGCAAAGATTGAATTTGAAGTGGTGAAGCTGGAAAAGTGCTGGGTAAAGAGAAATGTAGAGCCTCTATGGGCAGATATAAACCAGGATATTGAGATACGGATTCCCGCCTGGAAAATGTGATGATGGGAGGTTGAGATAGTTATGTGAGAAACAAGCCTGGAGCCTTTTCTAATAATGGAACAAGAGCCATCAAGTTGCCGGAGTCTAGAATCCCGAATGCCACTAGCTTTCCACCTCGCTGGCCGGTGAATCCAGAATGAACGAAAATGATATCATTGATGCCAAGAAGCACACCTCCCAACAGCCGGAGGTGCAAACAGCAAGCCTTCGACGTCGTTTTGATCATGCTTGTAAACGGAGATCAACGTCGCGGGGAGCATATACATATTTGCATTCTTATTACTTTGTGTAGTTAAATGCCTACCAGGATATCGTCTACTTAATTCAAGAGGTGAGAGTCGATCCCCCCCGATCGAGCTCGGCGCGCAGTCGAAGAGAGTTTCTAGGATCCACGAGCTCAGTGCCATATTGTGGAGGTGGCGGTAGAACCGAACTGAACTGACAACATTCTGAATGCAGGATTGATGAATTCGAGCTTTTCGTCTTTACCCCGATGCCCGACATAGACCGCTGAATCACGTCCGAGTGACGACGACCGTTTGAGTGGGGATCAATCTCACAAATCAACCCCCCCCCGGTATATACATACACCCAGCCAAAACTGCCTCTACATAGTTCATCGTGCTAAGACTTTGAACTCCGGACCTTTTGCCGAGACCAGAAGTGGAAGATGAAGTCCTCTCTTTACGACCGCCTGCTGCAGCGGGAACTGGGTAACCGCCGGCCATATGCAGGGATATCCGGGATATATGGGGATAAAGTCTGGGTTGATGATATGGACATTGTGAATGAGCTGGGTGGACATACGGGATGCGTTAACGCTTTAAAGTACGTGTCTTGATACTTGAGAAACCCGCTATTGCTACAGTTCACGATCACGGTTTGCTAACCAGAGCGGAACTGCCTCCCCAATAGTTGGTCGACATCTGGGCAATTTCTTGCCTCGGGATCTGACGATCAGCATGTTAATATCTATTCGTACCAGCCGGAACATACCACGTCCCCGGTCTTCCTCAATACGACGATTTTCACCGGTCACTCTGCGAATATATTCTCTGTCAAGTTTATGCCACACTCGAATGACCGGACACTGATTTCTTGCGCGGGCGACTCAGAGGTTCGAGTATTTGATATCGAGCATTCCGGACGGTCCGCCAACACGGCGATATCGTCGTCGCGGAGCCGTAGATTCAACAATTTCTTCAACGGAATGTGGTATTTGACGGATGGAAATACAAACTGCAGAGTTTACAGATCGCATGCGGACCGGGTCAAGCGTATAGTGACCGAATCATCTCCATACCTGTTCCTTACGTGCTCTGAAGATGGCGAAGTCCGGCAGTGGGATCTACGGCAGCCTTCTTCTGCTTACCCGTCTCCTCGGGGCGGACAGGGGTTCATGGCGTATAGACCGGGTTTACATCACGATGATTCCAACGTACCACCTCCGTTGATTTCGTACAAAAAGTACCATATCGATTTGAACACCATTTCCTGTGCTGCGACTCAGCCACATTACATCGCTCTTGGTGGCGCCCACCTCCATTGTTTCCTACATGACCGACGTATGCTGGGAAGGGACCTAATGGATGAAAGAGGACAAATGGGGAGTCCATCTAATACTTTTCACGACGATGAAGCCATGGGAAACGCGACAAGGTGTGTTCGAAGGTTCGCTCCGAATGGGCAAAAGAAAATGAGAAGCCGTGACAACGGACATATCACTGCGTGTAAAATCAGCAATGCGAACCCAAACGAGATGATCGTGAGCTGGTCCGGCGACCATATCTACAGCTTCGATCTTGTTCACAGCCCAGACGCTCGAGATGAAACTGGAAACAAAGATTCGAGTCAACAAGAAGGCTCGAGATCTGGCCGAGCGAAGAAAGATAAGAATCGAAAAAGGAAGCGTGGAAAGGCGACGTCGGCAACCTCCATAGCCAGCAGTATCCGCCATCAATCACGGCGCAGATCCGAGGAGAGGCATGAAGAGGGAGACGTGTCGTTCAGAGTCAGATACAACAACGGCGAGTCCGAAGATATCCCCTTCGACTCGATCACTGGCCCGGCTACGGCCGATACTCCGGAACGATTGTTGGAGGCTGCAAGGGACTCTGTCTTAAACGAAGCGCAAAAGCTCAGCCTCCGCATTGCAAAAGGCCTTGTTGAAATTCGAAAACTGCTATTCTCTGTCGAACTCTCCGCAAGAGAAGAGGCTGCAGAGATTTCATCAACCTCCGAACCAACGCCCTATACAGCTTCGTTTACATCGGTGATTGGATATGCTGCAACGTATCTTCCAGAGATGGATGAAGTGATTAGGACTTGGGGATATCCTTTGAGTCCGTCTCATGATGATGTCCTATTTCAGCAAGCATTGCGTCGGAATCGTGAATCGTCTAGAAGATTTGTACAGGCTTCCGGAACCCTAGCCAGAGTGCTAGGGGGCCGATTACAAACGGCAACCGGAGGGGAAAGTCCACAGTTGGCATTGTTTCGGCAAATCGTCCCTGCGCCCACGGAAGATGGAATGATTGATCCCTCGTCGCAGTTTGGATATGACTTCCTGAAGGCTATCCTACTGTGGCTTGAAGGAGGCCGCCATGCAGTAGTGGACAGCTTCAAACGGAGTGCCGGCCGTCGGCGCGATGCCGGCAGGTTTCCGTTGTTGGACTGCGATGGGGATGAGGCTATCGAAGACACTTTGATTCCGTACTTCCGTGAGCTGGCCAGTGCTGACCCAATCGTGAACGTCGACGCTTCGAGATTTGAGCATGATGAATCGCGCATCTTGTTCCAGTCTCAAACGGATGCTGTTGAGGCATTTGCAAAAGCTATCAAAATCCCACTCGAAGACCTTGGGGACGCAGCTGCCACTCGTGAACCTGAAAGTCAAAATGCTTCGCAAACTGAGGGGATCCGAGCTCTTGATAAGAAAGCAGCCGTTAGGTTCTGGGGACTGAAGGTCGGGAGAGGTCTCCTGATGGAAGTTGGTGAGGGTGTGAATTTTGAGTTCGTTAATCGCTGTTTTGGTGGCTTACGAACTGTTATCGAAGATGATGGTGAGGACGATGGGAGAGAGAGGGTACAAGAGGATATCGACCCAGAGGCCGAGGAGGCACCGATCTCAGAGGTCCGATTGGTACCAACTCGTCATCCTTATCGACATTCAGTTCTCGGTGGTTGGAGTGATGCCGACGACGCTAGCGATGGCGAGTTTGAAAATGACTCGGAAGATTCCGAAGGATCGGAAGAAGACGACGATGACGATGAGGATGATGAGGATGACGAGGAAGAAGAGGATACTAACGATGACAGTGATGAAGAAGAGGGTCGGCTATTTATCCGCCATGCGTCTGGTGGCCGACGACGAGGAGTAGAAAGCAACGTCCCGTGCTCCTCGCATTTGAACGTTTACCGAGGACATTGCAATGTTAAAACAGTTAAGGATGTGAACTACTTCGGATTAAATGATGAATATGTTGTGAGTGGGAGCGATTGTGGAAATTTCTTTATCTGGGATCGAAAGACGTCGGATTTGGTAAATATACTCTCCGGTGACAGCGATACCGTGAATGTCGTGCAAGGTAAATTCATCCACGGTACTTCCTTTCGAGTTATGCTAGAGGCTAATACGAGAAAAAGGACATCCATACGAGCCAACTATTGCTGTCTCTGGAATCGACAATACGATCAAAATATTCTCTCCAGATGCTCGAGCCCAGCATGATGCCAAAATTGGGATTAATATCGCCGACCCAGACGCCCCGGCAAATATAGTCAGCGGAAATAACCCCGGAGTTAACCGAACTGAACGTAATACATTGGGGCTGAGGAGCCGGAAGCAAATGCAAAATAGCTATCAAATCATGAGCCAAAACGATGTGGATCGACAGGGAGGAATGAATGAAGCTTTCATCACGGTACGTTTGCTTCACATGTTGGCTGCCCGTAGGATGGAAGTATCGTTTTCAGAATGGTCTTCCTGGTTCTGATAACGGTCTGCTGGGGCCTACGATCTGGCTCCCTCCTGACATGGAGACCGTGCTGTTCGTTTTTGTGGCTTTACTCTCAGTTTCCTGGTACTCATGGTCTTGGAAATATAGAGAAGCATGCTGGCGCGGTTAGCCGCTTCGTTGAGGGATAGGCGGGCCCTCGGTGTGAACAATCCAATTGAAGGTGAAGGGGGGACGATTGTTCTGGATGAGAATTGTACTGTAAGTGTAAAGCCCTGGATTCCAGTCGCCTATGGAATCTAACTCGGTTTTCCTAGGTGATGTAAACCAGAGCGCATATATGGCTTTGGGGTAGTGTCTAAAATCTTTGGGATACTTTTTGCAGTGATTGGGACAGCATTCAAATCTCGTTTATATGTAAGAACTATGACGGATATGTGCATTTTGACAAGAGATATTGCCGTTGGGTTAAAGTGCCATATCCACTCCGCAATTGGTGATATCAATATTTAGCATTGAAAATTCATACCCTGGACGTCGAACTAGGAGCAGTCTATCTCAATCAGCGCCCGGCCAATCTTAGGCCAATCTTAGGCCAATCTTAGGCCAATCTTAGGCCAATCTTAGGCCAATCTTAGGCCAATCTGAGCCATATTTGTGATTAAAGACACATTCTGGTGCAACATAAGAACCACGCCCCCCCAAAGAAGCTGTCTGCCATGGGTTCATCCACACATGAAGGATGCTTAAGTTCTGTGCTCTCAGGCCATTCTGACATGCCCTTGTTAGAACCCAGTATTCTGGGCACCAACTACCTTTCCCACAACTCCAATGGCTCTGCCATGGCATACGATGATAGTAACGGCAGAGTTGCATTTCTTTTGAATATTTGCCGACGAGTTTTAAAAAGTAATGTTCTGTTGTCTCGAGCTGAAAATATGCATGTAATACACCCATAAGCTTGTAATTTAACTATTGCAAGGTGTTAACATGATTGGGAAATCAAATATTACAAAATACGAGCACTCCACTACCTACAAGCAAACCAAAAGATCCTACTCAATTCTCGGAGTCCCCTTCCTGAAGCATGAGGATGCGGATACCTCAACTTGACTGTATTATCAAGCTAAAACTAAAACCATAATCGGAGCCGTTTTGATAGACCGGCCAGGATCCACCAAATCAAGGTTCTCCTTGCTGCATGTAAATATCTTCGCCAGACTGGCTGGAAGTCAAGTGCCAGGTCAGGCTTAAGTAGACCTCTTCGAACCAGTGCTTCACAAGCCTTTTTCTCCTTTGTACGATCAATAGCCTCATATTCTGCAACGGATGCAATGTCTTTTGTTTTGCGCCTGAAGTCGTATGCTACCAGAGCCATGATAGGATAAACATCATGCCAACAAGCAGAAATAAGGCCGTCAAAGATTTCATGGCGGTTAAGTTCTGGAAACTCCATATTTTCAAATCGGCGACCCAGTTCCGGCCCATCTAGACTGATGTCTTCATATGGTTCATGACCATATACCATATAGTAAAGTAGAGTTCCAACAGCAAATTGCTCGGTTCTAGCTGAGCAAAGGCCATAAGTGCCTCTCAAAGGCCCTGCTGTCAATTGTCTGGCCCATGGAGCAAAGGTATACTCAAGAAGCTGTCCAATGAGAGTAGCACGACCAAAATCAGTCAGCTTCAAATTGAGACTTCCATCAAGGAGGCAATTGGTTGTCTGGATATCATTGTGACAGAATCCCATTTTCTCCACATATTCAAGAGCAGATATGATTTGCTGGATCCATTGAGCAATGAGAGCAGGATCCTCATAATCTTTCACACGGATAAGTGTCCCAAAAAAATTACCATTTTCTCGTTCCTGATGTTCACGAAAGCGATATTCAAGTGCCTTATTTGGACAATGTGATAGAAACAGGTGGTCTGGAAGGATGAGGAAACGCTCCACGATATTTGGACATGAATCCTGATGCTCATTAAAGCATTTGTAAAATGCAATATCCTTGAGCAATGGATGCTCTCCAGGGCTTCGATTAGGACGAATGGTTTTCACCACAATAGTTGGGCTGACATGATAGACATAAGCATCAGTTCCGCCACCAAGTCAGTTGTGTTTCTCGAGAGTATCAGTGCTGTGAAAGCCCATCGCAAACTACACGACGCACGTATTTGTAATTAATTCGGCAAAAATACCCAGAGGCAATCGTCATTTGAGCTGGGGGGGTGGGCAGTCGAGTTGGGAAGAAGCGGCTGCGGAGAGGAACTGAAGTGGCTTGGCGAAAATCTGCTAACACTTTAGACTATTTTTGCTAAGATGGCTTCGTCTTGGAGCAGGATCGACTAGAGAAAGAGTGGAAGTCTTGCAATGCTAACTCACAGTGAGGATTGAGCACCGCCGGCTCATCAGCTCAGTCATTGTATCAACTCCGAACGTGGCACTTGTATTAACCTTTATTAGGCTCATGTGCCAAGACGATGGTTAATTTCCTTCTTAACCTTAACTAAACTATTAACTAGTAAGTTAACCAGCGGCAACTTGACATTTTCATCGGCTGTCAGTTTCCTCTCAGCGAAACACTTCCCTCGGAAACCGGGGAAAATTCAAAGGGAAAAAGAACCCTTGATGGCTTTCGAAAACGCAGGATGTAACTCAGAATTGCTATTGCGACGGCAGGAAGCTACTTCTCTGCTTCTCAATGACACCCACAACCCCCTCCGGCATTTGCAGCGGGGCAAAATTCACTTCCAGCTAGGGTTTCCTGATCTTGCTGCCGCCGATGCGTATCGCGCGCTGACCCTCTTTGAGTATGTTCTTGATCCGGAGAGTGAATATGTTGCCAAAAGGAGGATTGTCGGCGCTGCGATTGCAGATGGGCCCTTGGAGTTGAAAGGACCCCGGGGGGATGCTGATGGCCCGGACGAGGGGTTTGGGATTGAATTCGAACCCCTGCCCTGGAGCGATTATCAAGAGAATATCGGCGCTGTCTACATCCTGTTGGTCGATAGCCTCATGAGGTGTGGATGTATGGAGGATGCATATGAGTTTTGTGTGCAAGGCTTGAAACTCGCGCATGGTACAGAGAGAGGGGCAAGGAACGAAACCTTGAGGAAACTGATGCGTATGATCAAAGAGTCGTATGCTGATTCTCAACGGCAGAAAAACCAAGGCCTTCAATCCGGACGCGGAGAAACTTTTGACCCTGCTGGCCTTCAGGTCCAGGGATGCGCGAGGAGAGTGGTATATCCGTGGAATTCCCATGAGCCCGATCGAAATTCGCCCCAAATCGTGGAGCTGTTGAATGAGAGACTGAAGAAGGTTGCTCCGAAGTGTGAAGTCCGAGCCGTAGAGCTTCCTCTATTGCACGGTTTAGAGGCTGCGGCTCGAACGGGGTCAGATTCTGAGCGGAAAGAAGGGATATCAATCCAGTTGGGGCTTTTTGCAAAGGAAGACATTGCACCTGGCGAGGTGATACTGCATGAATCCTCCATGCTAACTGCTACCAATCGTCTACATGATGATTTATGCGACGCCTGCAACAGCCCATTGCCGCAGCTTGATGCCGCTGAGCCCGCGGTTGCCTGTGAGAACTGTGATGATATCATTTTCTGCAGCCAACAGTGCTACGAACTCGCATCTGAGACCTACCACGGTGCGATCTGTGGAGAGGAAGGTTTGGAGTCCATAGGAAAGGATATCCCGGACCCAAAAGATAAGGCAGATTATCTATATCTCCTCTTACTTGCTCGTGCCCTGGCCATGGCAGAGACACAACACATTCATCCCCTTGATCTTCCGGAAGTGAGATACATCTGGGGCGATTTCCACCGTATGGAGGACGATCCAATTACCCCCCTTGTTTCCATTTCTGCCCAGGAACCAGCTGCACTGCCGGCGCTGCCACCGTCCGCCACCTTGCCTTTCTCCTTTCAATTAAACATCCTTCAACCGATGCGTATTCTAGAGGAGATGGGGCTCAATCCATTCGACGCAGTGGAACGTTATGATACCTGGGTTTTAAACACGCTCTACGCCAAGTTCCGTGGCACCGCTTCCGGTCGTTTATCCACCTGGGATGGCGGGCCTGAAGTCTGTGCGGTTCATCCGCTCTGGTGCCTGGCGAATCACAGTTGTGATCCAAATGTGCGCTGGGAGTGGGGAGGAGAGATCACGTTTGTTGCAAGAGATGAGGGGGAGAGAGTGGACTGGGGTAGTATGGGGGGAAAGAAGCAAAGGGCAAGGGATCGAAGCGGTGGTGTTGCCATTAAGAAGGACGAGGAGATTTTGAATCATTATTGTGATTTGGGACTGAAGGTCAAGGAGAGGAGAGAGTGGGCTATGGGGGCGTTGGGTGGACCTTGCCAGTGCCCGAGGTGTGTTTGGGAGGAGTCTCTGCCGTAGTGCAACCGTTTTTTCTAGGTACATACGGAAGAAATCACCTTGTCTTTATCTTTGGATCGACTTGGTGAGCTGTTAGAACAGGAGACATAAAAGCTGCAGATATCAATTCAAAAGTGTTAATCGACTACTTCATCACATCATGATTCATAATTTAATGTACATACATAATTCGTGAGGTTCTGAATTATCTTCATAGATCCGTATGCTTACTTTTCATAGCTTCGAGCAATCCTTGGCGGTATCCCTGACGCCTCGTAAGGTCAGCTCATTGCTGGTGCAACATATTGTTGATTTCCATCTCCTATTTAGCATGCTGAACGAGCTGTTCGTATAATTCGTCCGGAATCTTCTTCACAATGAGAACTGTAAGCGCAGTAATTTCTTTTGCATCAAGCGACGGAAAGGATCTAAGCAGTTTATTGGGACTAACCCAGGGGTAAGCATTGCGTTTTGGACCAAGTAGTCCATCTTATGACATTGGAAACGCACCTCGAACTTGCCAGTAATGTATCCCGCATCCTGATCAACTGAGCCACAATACACAAAATGTTCAAATGCGGTCCGTACGCGAAGAGAAAATCCCACAGGTGCAGTACTTCCGGAAGAGGAGGTGTGCACGCACACAGTGTTAGAACCGACGGGAACGCATATAGTTCAGCGAACATGCCCTTGCTAAACAAGTGATATGCGAGTTTGGGTTCGACGATTTCGAGACATTTATCTACTAGTTTCAGGCCCTTGTGCACCCCGTCCATGGCACCGCGAATGTATCCCGGGCATTCCTGGGTGACGAAATGGTGGAAGAGAGCAAAGGCTTCGACTTCGCTTCTGGATGCGTAGAGGAAAGGAGCGCAGAGAACGTTCATGCCTTGTACGTATATTGCCGGGTCCGCGGAGTTTGTTTGGCTCGATGGTTGATGAGGGGCGTCCTCTGAGATCGGGGAAGGAAGGGTTTCTGCGGATAGCTTGCTTGAATGTCGGGTGGTATTCGATAACGTCAGAGATTTTGGCTTGGCCTTTGAAGATTTTCCTCCACTTGAATCGTGGATTTTCCAAGCGACGGCGTTTAGGAGCCGAATTAAACTGGCTTCGGTGACGCGACGTTTAAACAACGGATCTGTAGCGAGCGTGCGGAAAGTATCATTGCGGATTTTGGTGTAGACCGGTGACCGGCCGCGATGGACAAGGGATAGGTACTCATCCGTAGGAAGAGGGGGGATATTAAGCAGTGCTAACCATACGTATATGCGGTGAGGGGACTATCCCGTTCGTCAGCATCATGTTGACCAAGCAACGGACACCAAATGCAAAGTGACATACCATGCCATCCCCATCAGCATCCACCCTCGTAGACAAAATGAGGTACCTCAGTTCGTCCAACCCAGCCGCAAGGTTATTCTCTGAAGGTCCGTCTCTGAGCAGTATTTCGAGCCCGGACCGCTTTCCAGGAAATCCCATTGACCCAGACTTTCGAGTCGAAGAACGAGGCTTTTGGGTCAAATTGACCAGATTCCTTACGGCTGTAGGGCTGGCGGCATCGCTATTTGAGCGGTGGCGGCCATGCGCGGGCGTCGCCGGACCGGCTTGCGTATGGGGCTGGTTTCCATGTGAATCGGGTTTGCTTCCGGAGCTGCGGTTGAACTGCAGTCGTGAAACTGACTGGGTTTTCGTAGATAGATTCTGATGTGATTGGAACCGTCGAAGAGTGCGCGTTGGCTGCGGTGGTGGAACATCAGGTAGGGGAGGAAATTGGAACTGGGACTGGGGCTTGGTGGAATTCATAGCAAAAGGGAACACTTGATAAATAAATGCTAACAAAAATCCCCGATAAAATAGTCTCCTAATTTACATTGATTTTCTGGGTAGAGAAAATATGGCATTAAAAGAGCGTCGGCAGCAGCTCAAGTTTTACCACTGCGATGATGTGCTTTGTTTTTGTTATCTGAAGGTTGGCCCGCCAGATAAATGCGGGCCATTGACGCGCGCCTATTCTTAGGCACTGGTGGGCGCGTGGCGCGGGTAACTCACTCGCTAGCGAGCTCATCTAGAAAAGCCTCCTGCAACGTCGGGTCTCCAGCTGTTTTGCTGACTCCAAGCAATATTCCCTGACGTTTTCGAATTGTGTCTTTTAATTTTTACTGGAGTAAGACATTTTAGGTGTCCCTTCTTATTGTCATGAGAATCGAATAGATATACTCCGCATCACTCAATCCTTAAATGTTATAGTACAACAATGGGCCTAGAAGTCGGGGTAAATCAGACAATATATGATAAGCTCCACAATCTTGGACTCTGCAAACTGATAAGAAGATGAGGAAGAAAGGGAAAAAGGTTAAAAAAGGAAACAGACGGAGTCAACCATAGGTACTTGCAAACCACCGAGGTGCAAAAGGGGGCCAGCAAAACGCAAAAGAGAATAAGGTAAGTATTGGTACACTAATCCGTATCGCTCGACACTTAGCAATCGAAATCACAGTCAATTTGACGCATGCCGGAATCGTATCCACCCTCGCTGCAACGACCCTTGTTCTTTGTATCCCACCTCTGCGACGTGTAGGCCAGATATATGGGGTTGGAATCAACAGCACCCGTCCACAGGACTACTTTGTGCGGGAGTGGCCCTTGAGCGTGCAAGTGTTCGCCCTCCGGAGCGTACGTTTTGTCCAAATAGTCAATAAGGCTGCCGCCGGCGTCGTAAAGATTGACTTCAAGCGCGTAAAAGCCGCTCGGGTTTTGAGAATTACCGTCATGGTTTTTCTGATAATGACGGATGTGTACACGGCATTTCCCGGGCTTAAAATTTCTTGATGTCCCTATCTCATCAGGGTCTTCGCCGGTTCCCATGAAGGCTATGGGAGCATTTTTCGTTTCGTCAACCAGAGCGGTGTCAGGAATCTTCTCTTTGGGGTTAGGGCATCTGAAACCGCAGTCCATCTCGCGTTTACCGCCATCCCATCCACCCAACGAGCAATCATCGGAGCACCAGCGTTGATCGGAATACCAGAAGCAAAGCTTGGTGTGGTCTTCCTTGGAGCCAACACGGACGGCCAAGGTCCGTGACAACGGAGATTTGATGATATAAGCAGGAGAAATTGGTTGCTTCGTGGCCTGGGCAATCAACTTCCCTGCAGCGTCTATGATTGCGGTAGCAACCAGGAAATGGTCCTTCAAGGGGTTTGTGCCTTTTGATTCCTTCTCCCTTGCCCATTGGGTTACGTGAATCCTGCACATGCCCTCCGTGTATCCGTTGCGATTCGGGTTCGGGTTTACTGGCGCATCACTAGGTTTCTCTGGGCATACTTGCTCCTCCCTGTCCCATATTCTGTCACCAGCTTCCTTGGCATCCAAGCAGACAGTGAAGTTAAAGAAACCTGTAGCGGACAATCTCAGTAAACTCAAATGCAAGAGTGGGGGACGTTACAGCCATTTACCTGGAGTTCTGATTCCATCGAACAAAGGGAATGCCGTGTCCTTCAGCGTTTTCTGGTCCTCATCGAGCATAACGCTGGTCTCCAAGGAAAATTGCTAGGTCTGTGAGAATAGGTTTGATGATGAACGATCCAGACAGACAGCACTCACGTAACCGTTCTTTTTTCCATTTGCGAGGTACGCACCATAGCTGCTCTCGACAATGTCTCTACACAACAAGTTAGGATAACCCAAACGTCAAGGAAGAAAAAGGGAACACAAAAGTGAAGGATGGCTCCGTACTTGATTGTTATTCCACCCCATTTCTTTCCATCCAATTCATCAGTAGTACCGCCCTGTAAAGCCGTGAATTTATAATATGGTGGTTCCGAGCAGAAGCGGACCTGGGGGTTCTTTCGACAACTGCTGGGGTGATTGGCGTTCAGTAAGAACCAGGTATTACCACTGACAGCGAGCATTAGCACTTTGAGCTTGTTGAGAAGGACCCCGTCCATTAATGAAACAGCCCCTAGAAGCTGCAGCTCACGATGTTCTGAAACCCTTTTGAGCTTGTGGGTGGGAAGCAAGGCACGGACCGAATAGGTCGCCTAAGAATAAAACTTACTATTTGTCACAATATTGAGTCTTTTTCGCTGTGTCAGCAGTCATATAATTTCCCAAATTGAAATCCTTGGTAATCGTATATGGCTTGACTGGAGATCCGCATTTGTATTGCTCACGGTCCACTCGTCTATTATGCGGTCGGATTGTTAGTAAGCAATTCCTGCCTCTAAGGAAGTTCCTCTACTTACAATACAAATGGCCTTTGTTTTACTGGCGACAATTCCCATGTCACTGGCAGCATTCTTCCATAGAACATTCTCGAAACCTCGGCTTGCATTGTCTCCCAGCTGTCCTTTTCATTAAGGGCAAGGTCTAACATGGCACCATTTGCCAAAAGGTTGGTTAGGACTGTTTGGTTTCCCTTGTTGTGTGCCCTGATAGTGTCATCTAAGAACTTTGCATGGGATTTGGTTATGCCGTTGAATGTTCCGGCTGCGACGGCTTTGAGGAATGGAACAATGTCCTTGGCGGTCTCCGGGCTGTAATCCCGCATGAGCTATGAGCAAAAACAAGTAGATGTAAACTTACACCACGCCATCTTTAGGTAGGATAATGGAGTATGCAACGGCTGCGTTGAAAACATCTTTGAAGGCACCTCGGTAATCATCATCTGAAGGTATGTTAACACCTGTATTCAAGGCTACCACATTTCATCGAAAAGGGGTACCTTTAAACCATTGTGCTTTTTTAATCACTATGTGGCTCGGGTTATTAGCTGTTTCTGTAAAGACTTTTGTAGGCGGGATATCACTCACAAACGTTCCAGGAGAATGCGGATCCGATCCCGATCGCAAAGGCAAGTGAATCGAGAATCCATTTGAATACTTTATCAGATATACTTTTTTTCTTGTTTTTGGCGAAAGCGGATGCAAAACCTTCCATGTTTCCCTCGACGCCGACAAGACCGCCAGAAAGCTGTTCGAAGCCTCCATTTATAGACTACATTCCATCAGTATGTTGAAAGCTCCTCAGAGAAGTGGGACGTGGAGCTGAAAACTAACTTCACCAAATGTCACTATGGAGTTCTTGATCAGCCAAACAGCTGGTGCAACCGTCTCTTCGCATTGTTCTAGGCCAGTACACCTTTCTCCTTGGTATCTCCAGCATTGCGGAAAATCCTCCAAGTGCAAGGCATTGGCGAAATAGGCATCAAATGACTTGGCGCCCATCGGCAGTCTCTTATCGTTTTTAAGAAAGTCTTTGTACGCATCCATAACTTCCTTCCATAGTTCTGTTGACGAATTATGAGCTCTTCTGAACCAATAAGTCCTGTTCAAACAGGAATGCTCACCTGCAGCTCGAGCGGCTTTCCATCTCTTTTTTCCCTTATCAAAAGCATCGGTAAGGCCTGGGTTGTTGCACCGCACATCCTTCCAGCCTCCTTTCGCTGTAGAAAGGAAATCATTTTTACCCGCGTAAGCGCGGTTAAGGGCTAGGACAGGAGCCGTTGTGACCTGAGGAGCCGGGCCATGTTTGGGCAAAGAGCGAGAAGTAACAGCCGCCGTCAAAGCTTTATGAAGACCACTTTTCGCAGGATGGGCCTGGCACGCTGCAGAGAAGCCTAGCAGCAAGAGAATGAAACGTGCAATCGCCATGACGGAATACAGCAGTCCCAATCAACCATGAAATCGCATATAGAGGGCACAGCTCTGAGAGTCTCTGGTGTTTGATACACAAAAAGTCCAGGAAAGCAAGCCAGCTATATATTCCAAGACAGGAGAAGTTGAATTCCAAGCCCCCTTAGAGGCCTGATGTTGGGAGGCATAATTGGCGAAATAGAGGATCTCTCTGTTTCACAAAAGAGCGCCTCCGAGGGTGCATATCATGATAGTTACTGTTTCAATGTGCACGAGGTGGGCAAGTAGATTCTGATTGACTGATAATAGTGCTCAAGCGTGTAATTTGACCACCACAGTGCCCGATGCCCTGCCAAGGCGTATATGCCGGGCCTTGGGGCCGGTTCCTTGCATACAATACTGGCGAGCATAGCCAGTACAGGTCCCAGGTCAGAATCAAAGAGCTCCTGAGGCGCTACGGAGCTCTGATTTTAGGTGTTTCAGAAAGATTTTCCGGGATTGTGCAACTGCGCAGTTGGGAACGACGTCGATTAACCTTGAACGGAGGCATCCATAGTTAAGCATCTGAGCTCCCTGTGTAAACAACTCATTGGTAGAAAAGCGACAACGCAAGCTTTGGTAGAGTAAAGGGTCAGAGTCGCCTGATACCACTCCTGCTCAAGATGTCAATGAAAAGAGGGCTATGCTTTTGCTATGAAAAGCCCTGATCCTACTGATGAAGATCAAAGGAGTTCTGCAAAAGAATACGGAGTAGACAGCTGCTAAACTAACGCCGTCTGGTGCGGGAAATAAGTAACCAAGTTGGGAGCGAGTGAGCTGCTGTTGGCTTGGTGCTCCATTCTGGTGCACAGCTAATAATAAAGCAGAATTCAGTCCTATGAGAATGCCAGAGGGAGAAACGCGTCGAGGATGGGTGGAGAGACAGAGATGGATGTCGTTGATGTTTCTGAGATGAGGTTGGAATCCAACAATGCCTTGAGCCACGCTAAAATAGGCCATTGCTTGGCATCCCAGCAGCGCGGCAAGCCCTGGACGTTGTGGGCGCAGTCCAGGCTTGTTGGCCCCCAGAGCTCCCCCCAGGCCAGCGCCCGGAGCCAATCACCCCCGCCCGTGGGAGGCACGGCGTAAGGGCTGGTGGTTTGATTTGCTGGCGGCTTCGTCCAGGATTAAGCGCCCTCAACGGAGGAGACTCCTGAATTGGCGTCCGTCCCCTGTATGACCTGCCACTGCGCGTGATGGCGGCGGGAGTGATGGTTCAATGCAGTCTCCCATGGCAATGCCTCCTTCTCTTTTTCATTATTATGGCTTTTCCATCTGCCAACAAAAATCTCCATCTCCGTTGGCAACCAATGTGCACCGATCCATAACGACTGATATCCCCTCCTCTAGGCGTTTTGAAATTTGAAGCTGATGGCGCTGCTCTGTTCTCTGCGCAATACCCTTTCAATCTCTTTTCTCCTTCTCTCCTTTGTTTATATATCGTTGGCGCAGGATGCATCCTCAACACGGTCGCCCGTGTCAACGGCAGACGCTCCGTCAGCAACCAGCTCAACTTCACCGATGATCGGCTGGACCATTCCTTTGGTGGGCCTCGAAGATGACCCAGAGAAGCCATGGGGTGCGAATGCTTCTTTTGGTTCTAGCGATGCTGGCTACCAACTGTTCTCGATTACCATCGGCAGCAACACGAGCGCCAACACCAGAGGAGATTCTTCAGAGCGCATTGCAGCATTCCCCTTTGCGGTGAGCGCCAATCCAGATGGCAGCACTCCAGATGGCCGTCGCGTTTTTATGTCTCCTGGGCAAGACAATACCATCCCTCTGGGCCCAAGGTCCGCACTGGGCTTCACGCGAAAATCTCGACAGGGCGATGAAGACATACCTACCGTTCCTTTCTGTATCAACCTTGGGAGTAAGGGCCGTTGGAATGGGTCCCTGACTCTGGGAGAGAACTTCTACGATCGGAATCGAATCCTTCGGCAATTGTCATTTGACGCGGTTCCTGATGCAAACCATGAGCATAATGGTACATTTTTAGCAAGTGGGAGACAGAGAATCAATAGCGTCGACATGGCGAGATTGGATTGGGCTGGAGTCAACCGAAACGAAAAGGACATTGACCCGACATCCGGAGATGTGATTTTGGACTTCAATAGCGAATCCATTACCCTTCCTCATGGATCGTGGTGCGGACAAAACGTGTCGTTTACGTTCTTCGGCGTCGCGCTCAACGTGCGCATCCCCGACTACCTGACCAAGTCCCCTGACCGTTGCAAAGGTGCGGAAAATCAAAACCTCTCCGAGAACCCTCTCATTCTCGGAAAGCCTTTCTTCCAAATGGCAAATGTTCTCGTCCAGCCAAATGGCGATATGTTCATAGCAACGGCAAACACATGGGACCTTCCACCGTTCCCTGAAACCATTTCAGAACAAGGCTTCATCGGTTTTCCGGAAGACCCCAAGCCAACGTCGTCAGCGACACCACGCCCGACATTTGAGCCATCCGAGGGAGGCGGAAAGAATATCGGGGCGATCGTGGGTGGCACAATCGGAGGTGTTGCAGGACTCGCCTTGATTGGAGCTGTCGCCTTTTTCCTCCGCAGGCGACAAAGAGCAAACCAAACTCCATCCCCTTATTCTACCAAAGGCGACATTCCTCTGAACTAACTGAAAAGAATCCTTTGGTATGTGCTTGCTCTTCTTGCCAGACGCGCTGTAGCCCTGTAACTTACCTTTATATCTTCCTAGACTTCCGAAATCCAATTATAAATACTGCCCATTCCACTATATCATGGTAGCTACGCCTTTGCTACCAGTCAGCCTCCCGCTCTGTTATCCAGCACCTAGAGTTCGCTGCCGCTTTTTTGTTCTTCTGGTTCATAATTCAACCCTGTAGAGCTAAATGTGATGGTCTCCTTTCTTTTTAAGTTTTAGTGGGTTCACGACATAAGTAACGAGAACGCATATTGCCTTTTGATGAATTTTCTGCATTTGTATAGTTTAGTTTATCCGAATTATAGCATATGAGTCCTACGAAACACAACTGCTCGGTATTGACTGCAAGTGTTCCACAATCCACCTTTGCTGAAAATGCCTCAGTTATGAATCAAGCATGTCCATCCAATTGGAAATTTCCATGAGTTTGAGGCTTGAAAGGGTGGGAGTGTGTGCGCACCACATATTTCACATCCGCCCGGTCGGCGTGGGTGATACTGGGATGATAAAAGGCCATTGGTTATTGAGAGTTCGAACCGAAGCCCGTGTGCGACATTTTCAGTGACACTTGCAGGAAGTGGACTCCATA